GCAGCTGCCACTCCATCAGGCCTGCTTCCTTTCTCCAGGCTGAACAATAAGAGCTAGTTCTTCACTTTGTGTCACACAGAATGGCTGATTTGATTAAGTCCCCAACTCTCATTATGCTAGGTAGGGGTGTAGAATTTCAATGATAATCCATAATGCATGACCAGTTTGTTGCCATGGCAACATAAATTCAAGGTTACTAGCTCAGACGCATAATTGGGTGTGCATTGAGTGCTGAAGAAGGGCTGTTAAAATTCTTGTCATAGAAGAGTAGCATCCATCATACTGTCTGAAATTGCAAAGTACTCATAATCAGAAAGAAAAATCCTTGGAGAAAAATGTTAATAAAATAACGATTACATCTAATATAATTGTTTAAGTTTAAAAAACCAAAGTGGTTCAAGTATTTTAGCTAATAAGAATGGAAAAGGCAACTCATTAACCACAGAAGACTTTAGTTGAACATTCCCCACCCCCCAATATTTGCATTGTAAGATGGACCCAAAGCAGTTCAGCTCTGAATCTGACTGATTAGCTCAGGATCTAATCCATATGATACAGTAAAAGATGACGCTTCGCATGCAGACGGCACAGTCTTATAGGCATCGTTTGTCCAGTTTGATCTTTTGTGGGTAAACATATCTTCAAAATTAGCTGCACTAAGGATAAGAGGACTTTTGCAGGATGTTTTTGGTTTTTTGGTTGTTTTTTTATTATTTATTTTTTATATATTGCCCTGAATTATTGCACTATACAGCAGCCATTTTAACTACCCAAGATGAAATAGGTAAGGTCAAATTGAACAGATGGAAACAAGACATTTAAAATCAGACTGAGAAAATCTCTAGCATGTATATAGTAAGGAGTGATCTTACTCCAGCAGATGGATGGAATAGATGACCTAGAAAGGCTTCTATTTTTTTTTCTTCTCTTTCTTTCTCATTTCTATTGCATTTGTGACTGCAAGATACCTGAAACCTGGCATTCACTGTATGATTTTATTGTGGGGAGGGGATTCTTTTTTTGTTTTTTAAAAATATTCTGATAAACATGTTTTCTGTATTCCTATAATATTAGCAAGAGAGATATGACATTTGCATTACTTATTCCCAAACAAGTCTTGTTTTGGTGACCATCTTTGTTAGCAAGGAAGAATAGGCAAATCAGATTTTACATGAGCACTTCCAAGATGTCAGGAGCTTAAACCTAGCATGTCATTACATGAAGAAAGATCATTACTAAATTAATATTTTCCTCAGCTCCAACCCCATTTTCCTTGATATTGCCTATCTTGTATGTATCTGTTTTATAGCCTTGGTGAATTCTAGCTGACGTGCTTCAGCATATGGTTTTATTTATTAGGATTTCTAGTGAAATTTGACATTATTTCAACGTATGTTTCTGTAAAAATATTAAGAGTGTTTCTTCAAAGGAATGAAACCTCAGTTTATACCTTTTGAGTCAAATCTGCCACTTGTTTCTGGGGCTGAGCTTTTATCTAATTCTGTTGGAGATGCTTATGATTTGCTGGGTGAATTGCTTAAATGTAACAATAGAAAATTCCCATTATGTGGAAGTGGAAAGGCTCAGTAAAGAAATGATTATTCTGGCATGAATTTTCTGCAAAGATTAAACTAATCTGCTTGGGCTTTCCAGATTTCAGATTGCACTGTTTTCTAATCTACTCTGCATTTACATTTTGCAAACAGAAATTGTAGGGAACTTAGTGTAAACATAATTAAAACTGTGAAATTATAGCGAATTTTAAAAGAATGTTTGAAAATGCATTTGGTGTTGGCTATTTTTTTTTTACTTTTTGTGGGTTTATTTCTAAGAGTACTGTATTTTGAGAACTGATTATTTTTATTAACAAAATTGCATTATTTTTATGAGGTTAGAAAATATGGACACTAACTTGTAGTTTTTAAAAAATATTTTTTTGTGCTGAACCGTACAGATTCTTTTCTGAACACATGAGCCTAAGTAAGTCAGGCACTCTTGTCACCATTTCAAAATTGTTCAGATCTGCAACTAATTTCCACTACAGGAAAATGTGCTGGATCATAAGCCTATTGGTACTTTGTAGGCAAGCAGAATTTTTCACGAGTGACAAATGGCAAGATCAGATCCTACAGGAATGGACGCTCTGGTTGTATCATACTGAATTCATTTTCCTCTGTGTGTAAGACCTGGTTTTGCACATAAGAACATATATTACCGTTCAATATCAGGATAGGACTGTATGTTCAATGATGTGTTTTATTTCAACACAGCCTCGCTTAATATGAAGCTTGCAAATATCACATCTGGAGGTGTATTCTCCTTTTGATGTGCACATGTAATTCCAATTAACATTAAGAATGTTAATGAGAATATGCCCCTCTAGGGGCTAGAGAGGGGGAGGTGAGGGAGCAGGTTTGTAGTTCTGATTTAAATAACAAGTGACTTTTGTGGAGAATACCAGCATGTGGTCTCATGCACTTATATTGTTGAAATGCAGTGGCTCTGAATGAGAGCACACGATTTATACATTGATGCTCAGTGATGCTTAGCCAAGTGAACCCGTTGTTGGGGGCAAATATTAAATCCCAATGTGCCTTCTCCAGGAAGGAGTATTTTCCAAAATGTTTAGTTCTCTGTTTGTGCACAGGCATAAAAGACTCTGCTGAGAGAGAGTGGGCCATGGTTTTGTGAATTAGTTTTCCTTAAAGACTAGCTTAATTTGAAGGAGCAAAACATTTAAGTACTTGTTGTTTCTCAAGTATGCAGAATGTATAAAATAACTTTCAAGACCTTAAGCATCAATGTGCTCCTATGCTTTGATTAATTTACATGCTGTTCTTTTAGTGTTCCAAGGAAGTACTTTTAATATCATATTTCAAAACAAAAATATCCAGCTAAAAATGGCTATTAAATCATTATCTTTTGTTTGAAAGTGTGATGTCACTGGTGGTGATATTTTGACGAATCCTGTCTAAGCAGAAAGTGAGAGCAACTATAGCACTTCCATTTTTGAAAACAGAAGGTAACAGCTTGTGAAGTGGTTTTAAGGCAAGAAAGTATGGAATATATATCTTATAATTGCAAGCAAATGCATTTAATAGATTAAATGGCATTACAATTTCACTTTAACAGATGAAAACAGAGCCAGTGTTTATATGTAAAACGTATTTTCCCATGTTATTTAGCCAGAGAATAAGACCATAGAGGAGAAAACAAGGATATCAAGTTAAATGGCTATGGGGAAAAGAAAATAGAAAAAAACAAGACAAAAGCCTTTCCTGTTTTAAGAAATTAATATCTTTTCTATTATATTTTTTTCTGGTAATGACTATTGCAAGATGTAAAAATGACCAAGAAATAACAAGGCATATCACTGTTTGATGCCCCACCCAACTCTTTTGTTATCAGTGACAGAAAAAATACCCCAAACAATATCATTTATCTGTTTTGTCAAGTCTTTCTGTATAAACTTTCTGCATGCCTTTTCAATTTACACATAGAGAAGTGCTGCTCATTTCATTGATCTGACACGTCACATTTCATTGTGTGGATTTCAATGCAAGTGCTATCGTAGGATGTGCAACATTCAGGCATCAGGATACATTAAAAATGTAAAGTGAAAATGTCTGTTTTGTAGATATTTTTTACCATGACATTTTTTGGTCAAACAGTTGAAAGCTGTTATTTGAATAGCTATCTTGTACATTTTAGCTGCTGGGTTTGGTACTTGTAAAATGTATATTTTGCAAGCACACAGTGGTATACTTGAAATTATAAAACACCATGGACCCTGATGTTTTAACTTATTTAAGGACTGATCATATAATCTTGGTTACATGGGTAACATAATACGATTATTATAGACAGTAAGAAATTTCCCTGTGCTTAGGGAGCATTGTCCAAGACTTAGAATTTTCCTCTCCCATCTCATCAAGTAGTTCTGCATGAAATCTGGGGGTTTTAATGAGAAAATTATGTTGCACAAACTGGAGTCAATGTTTATACAGTCCCATCTCTTGGCATGAAAAGCCTGCATGTATACAAGATAAAAAGAGGTGGGAATATAAGAAGACATGATAGGAAAACCAGGACTGTTATTAACATTCAGGTGAGTGATCTGTTTAGGAAAAGCAAGGCTAGAGCAAGTTTTTAAGCAGATGTTTTCACCCCATTAATCTATTTCTTCAAGTTTGAAAAAGAGAAAAGTGTTCAGCTGCAATATTTCCATGCATTTATTTCATGGCAGCTGGGGAACAAGCTATGAAGAAAAGATCAGTGGTTAAATCAGATGAACAGAATAAAGAAAACAAAATTAAATTAAACAGGTTAGAGAGGAGGACACAGGAACAACACAGATGACACAATGACCAAAACACCAAGCCTAATAGTTGGTTAAATCTTTGTCTACCCCGTATTGAGAAGGCAAACACTTGACTAGCACGAACCAGGAAACAGGCTGCTCTCAGTTCTCACAATCCAAGGAAATTTCATTAAAGTCTATAGAGTCATTACAGAAAAAAATCAGAATTTGTCTGTCTGGTTCTATCAATCAGCCACATTAACTTGATTTCATTAGTCACAGAAATTATTAATTATGTATCTCTGTAGAAAACCAGGAACAGAAACATTCTCAGAAAACCAGTGAAGAAACGTGAAGTGTTTAAAAAATCAAGACAAGTGACAATTATCCATTAAAATTTGAGCAGCTCTTCTATTACTGATTTCTGATAAGAAATACACACAAAGCAGTCTTTCACCATATTTCAGAGGCTAAAAAATAAAAAAAAAAAAAAGTAAATTATTAGGGAAATTAATAAATATGAGAACGTGCAGGGTAGTACACCAGGATTTCCTTTCATTCAAAATCACAACCCTGAAGACAACAGCTTTTTACTGAATCAGTTGCAGCCAGAAATTGAAAAAATAACAGGAGGAAGATGTGGTACCTTTACAAACTTACAAACTTCATGGCCTCTCAGTCTGATTATAAGAACACAGACCTGTAGATCTGAATGTGCTTCTGTTGTCAGCTTGCCTCAGGTTTGTCCTAGTATATCACTTTTCTGGAACTATTTCATTGTTTCACAATGCTCTGCAATGAAAAAGAAACTGCTGAATGAGAAAAAAGCATGGCAAGGATGAAATCCTCTGACCTGTGGTCTGCAGGAGGTCATGTTGGCTGATCATAATCTATCAAAACAGTAAATGTACCACACATTCTTTAGGTGTTTCAAGGATCAGCGGCAATGTGATATCCAAAAATTTACAGTAGTACCTTGTGTGCTGTGAAACAATCAGCTCCTCGCAATACTGAACTTGTCATGGGGTGGCTGAAATGGGTCAGTAAGTTAAATACTATATCCTCAGAAGCTCCAAAAAAAACCCAGAATAACTGTTTCTGCTCCTAAAGGAAACACTAGTAGCCTAACTTTACTGTTTGGGGGATCAAGAAGGAAGGGACATATCTTCTCATTTTGTTTAAACCTTTTCAAAGTGTTTTCTAAGTTTAAAATCTGTGGTATATTCAACAGAAGTACCAATGCTATTGAAGCAGTCCTGTATTTGATCCCCTCTACAGTCCATTGCTGCTGCTAGCGGTAGTGTTCAGGAAAAGAAAGGCAAGCCTAAAATAGATTTCCTGTCAAAACTGCTTTCCTATCTGTTCAACTGCTTCAGTTAAGAATGTGATTTATTTTTAAACATTATGCACAGACCATTTGAACTTTTGGTGTAGGTAGAACCATGTCATTATATGTATGATAATACCAGTATAGCTTGTTGATTTCCCTTTCTGCACATTTCTGCACTGGAATCAAGTATCTTGATATAATCACTTTATATCATTATAGCTGAGTTTGAAAAGTGGAAGATGGGATATGACTTGCAGTTTTACTACTTTAAATTAACCTGCATATTTAAAGCAATACAAACTATGTTTAAACAGGGCTTCAGGCCTTGGGGAATTATAAATATGAGTAATTTACTGTGTCTTTTGTGCAAATTGTTCCAAGAGCAAACCCCGGTCCTTGCCCAAACCCCTAATTAATGAAAACCAACTAACTCTGATTATCATGTAGGACACAGCAAATGTATAGAAGGGATTCTACTCGGATTTTAGCTAATGTGATATAGCACCTATAACCTTGGTTTCCCCTTGCTGAGCTAAAGCAAAGGTGTTTCATCATAATGGGAATTATTCCCAAGTCAATTTTCACAAGATTTTTCTCTTTCTCTTTTCAATCCATATGATCACAGTTAGATTTAACAATGAGGAAAAAAAAATGACCTTTGATTTACCATGAGTACATTTTATTATTTTCTTACACAGAAGTGACTGAAAAAATTTTGTTCTGCCTTTACAACAATCAAGTGCTGTTCTGCAGAGAAAAAGTGGGGAGATGTTACACTGAAGAGACAGATGCTTTAAAAGTTTTGCACATGACAGAATGTAATTAAATTGGAATGAAAATAATAACACAGCATTTGAATAAAAATACATATCCCAAAGCACTTCACAAGTAGGTCAATATCATTATAAGCATTTGATTGTTGCTTACTTTAGCAGGAATGGTTTAGGAATGAAAAATAGTTTAGTGTAGACTCTCTCACTTTGTGGCAGTTCTACAAAAGTGATAGTTAGTATAGAGCATCCTGGCACATGCAAAGCCTGGCCAATGCTAAATTTCATCTCCAGCTGCACAGAAATATTGATGTTATTTTCAGTGGGTTTGTCTAGTAGTGTAAACATTAGAAACCGGAATAAAATACTGACAGGTTACCAGCATTCAGCTAATTTTCATCAATAAGTCACTCCAAGGTCTAGATGTAGTATTCAAGTCTCCTTGAAGGTGTGAGATGTGGAGATGGGATGGGGGGATGGGTATGTACACTCTGAAAGACTGGATCATTAATGAGCAGAACATAAGAAATCATATAGGGAAAAGGAAGCCAGCTTCTCATACTAACATCAGTATTCTTACCCTACAGAAAGCTTCCATTAGATGATATTTAACTCAGATAATTACCCTTCTAGCTGACATTATCCATAGGAAATCACAATTTCACTATGCCAAAAAGAAGCTAAATGGCTAACTCTATTTTACTCCATACCCTTCAACTGATTTTCCAACTGATAATTTAAGGCAGGATATTCTACCCAGTCTCCATGCAATTGTGTATTTCTGTGTGGATGGAATCCTTCCTTTCTTTATTTCTTTATACTTGATTCTCCAAGAAACAGATAAAATTATATCTTTGAAGACGCTGTTTAATGGCAACATTTTTGGTTTTAAGCATTCCCTGGGTCTCAAACTCATTAAATTCAGAGATCTTGCCTCTCCTTTTGGATTTACATGCTACAAAGTGTAAGTTTCACTCATATGTCTCCAAAGAGAAACATCCCTAGCTGGGAGCAAGCCTTCCTGCTCTTCTGGAGGATCAAAACCCTTTGGGGTGCGGGTCACCCATACAGGCATTGCACTATATTGTCCCAGTTCCTGGGCACCACAGTCCCTCTTCACTGTCAGCTGCCTTTCCTCAGGCTTTGGGTTTCACTTTGTCTGCACCCCTGTTTTGTTTACAGTTCAGCTTTGGTTCCCTTCTAGCATTGCAGCCCCAAGCTTCTAGAGCACAGAATATAATTTTAAACTTTCTCAGAATATAAATATAAAAATGCTTTGTCTTTAGGAAGACAACATTAGAATGGTGCATGGTTGCACTGTCTCTTGGGCTCTTTGGGGCAGGAACCAAAACTTTAGCATTGCAGTTACCCAGTATGGGATTGTCATCCATTTCAGAATCTCAAAGTCTTATTAAAAAGTAAGTACATATTTATGACATTGTTTATGTTTGTGTGCTCCTATGACTAAGCTTAAAGCATTTTGTCATTGGACTTCCAAATATTATTTTTTTTTCCAGTTCTAACATTTGTTATTCCAGGAAAATCATCCCAAAACCTCCATGGATAGTCAGGTTAATGACATATCTGCACCAGATTAAGTACCTCTCCTTTTCTGGCTGTCACTATGCTGCTTGGTGGTAGGACATGTTTTAGTTTCACTAGCAAAGAATATTAAACTTTACTCAGGTTTGAGCAGAAGATCTCCAAGGGAAATTCTGGTCTGATATGTAATGAACATATATGGATTAGTTTGATGTATGTCTGATGATCTTGTTACTAAAGCACATTCCCAGCAACTGGAATAATCTAGCATTAAGAGTCCGAGGTGTAACATTTCCTCAGTTTGTCCTTTTCCCTTTATATCATCAGTTGCCTATCTCAGTCTTAAAAGCATCTTGTTCAACAGACAGTACAATATAAAGTGTAAAACCTGACTTATGTCTGCTTTTAGTCATTAAAAAAAATAATACAAAACAAATTTTTCAGACCATAAAATCAATGAACATGCATCCCAACAAACCTTAAATTAGATAATCTCATACATTTGATTAAAGGACAGTATACCAGGTACTTACTAGATTAAAAACAATATACCAAGTATTTTCAATTACATTTTATTCTTTTTCTTTCTACAACTAGTGAATATTTCTCAAGTGCAGATCTTTTCATTCAGACAGGTGAAAGTATTATACAATATTGTGCATTAGTTAGCCTACCTTTTTCAGCATGACATTGTTCTTTCAGAATGTCAATACCTTCTCCTTGTTTATTGCAACAAGCATAAAGGAGGCTTAATTTCTTGTGCATTTTCTGCTGCATCCCTAACGAATCTTATTTGCTATTAAGTCCCATTCTACTTGGCTTGTGATACCAACCTCACCCTTGTTATATTCTGAAAAATAACTTCTGAGCTTTTTCTGATGTTTTCCCTCAATTTGAGATTTGTATTCTTAAACTGCATTTCTCCTTTTCCTTTGCCTGTTTTGTTTTCCTAATGCCTTAAAAAATCAAACAAACATGGGCAACTGGCAACTTTCTGGTATGTTGGGACTACTGCCTGGTATAATGGCTATATTTTTTTTCTCTTATAATTCCCTCTATTCGGTTGTGTTGTCTCTTGTATTACACTTAGCTTGTAAGCTTACCAGGAGAGCACTCATTAACGTCGTAACTGTACAGCACCTAGGACAACAAGGCAATGATTCAAGTCTGAGATTTTTTCAGATCTGTAATAACAACAAAGGTAGCAAAACCAGACATAGTGTAGCTGTATATTGCTCAAAGACATTTTTCTCATAAAAAGTCCAAATTTTTTGCTATACTGTGCACAGGGTTCTGACTGAAAATATATACTTTCTCAGTGCACTGCAACTTCACCCTCTCCTCTCCTCTTGAAATGATGAGTTGTTTCATTTTATTATCTCTGCTCCTGGCCAGTTTGAGTTTTTTTATTCTACCAGTAATGCTGGTCACACTTGCATCCAACCACTTCTCCCGTAGACAGGCAGGTTTGTGCCTTCTTCCTAGCTGTCCATTTCCCATTTCTTGTCTTCTAGATTGAAATATTTTTGTCTTCTTTGTAACATTTGTAATCTTTTAAAACAAGTTTGCACTGTGATAGTCTGAACAGAATTAACCAAAACATCTATAAGGAAGGGAAATGGAGAGAAAAAGAGAAGGAAGGGGAAAGGAAAAGGGAAAAAGAAAGCAAAAGGAAAAAAAAGAAAAGGAAGGGGCAAGAGGGGGAAAGGAAGGGAAAGGGGGAAAAGGAAGAGGAAGAGAAAGGGGAAAGGGAAGGAAAATCATGTTAGTATCTGCTATTTGGTTTATCCTAATAACACCCCATTTGGTCTTTATACAAAATCTGATTTAACTTTGGTGTTGGCCTTGCTGTGAGAACAGCTGATTGAACCAGAGAACATCCAGAGGCCTCTTCCAGTTTAAAATTTTCTGTAATTCTATAATTGGGCTAACAATCATGAAGAGATGGATCTTGTTTTGGTATGAAATTCTGAGAAGGTTGAAAATTATTGTTTTAGTCTCCAAGGGTGGGGTTTACCTCATTCAACTTAACACACTTAATGTCCATGTCTAAGCCAGTCACTGGAGAGGAAGAATCATCTCCAAAATTGCTTTTTGTCACCTGATTAGATGCCTAATGTGAGCTGAAATGGTCACCTTTTTCTCTCTGGGATGAATATAACTCCATGCAACCAACCTTCTGACACTTGAGCTGAGAAAGATGAATTTCAGAATAATATGAATACGAATTACCTATTTTGTGGGCACATGCACCCGTTGATGAGTTATATTTTCCTGGTGATAACTTTTTACCTTCAAGCTGACTGCATCTTCCCTCAGAATGTTAAAGGAACAAATCATACATTTGAACTGAGATGTAATAGAAATATTATACCAAGGCATAAAACCTAGTATCAAAAATGACAACCCATATTCTTTTGTGATAACTTTTTTCACTGGCAAAACTGGAGGAGAAATAAAAAGAGTTTAAAAGAAGAGCTTGCTAGTAACAAGCCCCAAAACCTCTCTAAGGAAATGGAAATGTTATTTGACGTTACAAGTCAATGCTGCATTGTTGACAGAGCTCTCCCTGCCAAGCATCCATTTCCATTTATTATGTTTTTACAAATGCTGAACAAACCATCCAAGATCATATTGGGACTTAGAGCACAAGGTTATCATTAATAGCAGGGCATTAACAATGTGCTAAAAGATTACAATAGTGCTGAAACAAACTCGTGACCTGAGTGTGCTCTGGGTTCAATGAGAACAATAAATTCTTCATGTGGTTAAGCTCTTAAGAGCTACATACTATTAATGACAACAAGAAACCATGTCTGAAGAAGCTGTTTGATAGAGAGGTTTATTTGGCATTATGATGTAAGGAAATCATCACTGAAGCCTTCTATATACACTAGCAGAGCACAGGATAGCTCTGACTCAGGTAATGGCTGTCCGTCTATATTTGAAATATTAAATATTATATAGTCTGGCCCACCAACTACTTTCTTGCTTAAGTAATTGCCGTGTCAAAAAAAGCACTCAGGATCTTTAGTTTCATTATTTTAAACCACTGTAATTTCATTTTTTCTCTTTTCAAGCAGCGCTTAGGGATCATTGAATCATAGAATAGTTGGAATTGGAGGGGGTTTCTGGAGATTGTCTAGCAGGGTCAGCTAAGGCAGGTTGCTTAGGACTATCTCCAGTCTCATTTTGAATAACTCCAAGAAATGAGACACCAGGACATATCTGGGCAACCTGTTCTTGTTTTCAGAAAGGTTGTTAAAAATAAAAAGATTAAATTCTTATCTCTGCTTCAGAAAAAAAATGTTATGCACCACAAATACAGTTTCAGTTTGAATTATGAAGTGCAAGAGGCAAACATGTCCTCTCTGAAGCTGAAATTCACCTTACAACTCATTTACCCATGCTAATCAGTCAATAGATTTGCAAAAATGATGTGTTGATTTCCCTTCTTTTTAACGTAGCAATTTCTGTTGGGTGCCAAAATGAATTAAATAAAGCGCAGCTCTGAGAGCTGACATACTAATCAAAAATTGCAAGTGCTTTCCCTTAAAATGCTGCCAGGAGCCCAGTTTCTGGGCCCCCTGGAGTCTCAGAAAGTGAATGAGACTTCTGCTCGCATAAGAGACTCATCTTGCTCAGGAAATATCTAAGTGTTGCCTGGGAAGCTAGACAATGTCAGTGAAAAGAATTGAAGAAATTCTCACCATATCTTGGAAGTTGCATCAAGTCCTGACACTTGATGGCATCTGGCAGGTCAATGGGACCTTAAGCCAGCAGATATTCACCTCTACTTCATGGAGCAGCATCAGCTGCAAATGCCTCCATTTGGTCCATTGTGAAAGACAGAGGGTTATGCCCATGAACTTTGTGGGTCTCCAAACATCTTGCCAATTAGATAAAAACACAGGGATTCACAAGGTTTTTGGATTACACCTGGTAGGTTTTTTCCGGCTGAAGCTACTTAAATGAACTCATGTCAAATGACAATTGAGAGAAACTCTTTCCAGCTGAAGTTTCAAAGAATTTGCTGTTTAGAAAAAAAAAAAAAAAAGAAATCTAAAGACCAAAAACAAACCAAAAAAGCCCTCATGAAACAAACAAACCAACCTGAAGGCTGCTGACTCCCTTAAGCTCTTCACAGACCTCACCATTATTGGCCAAATTCTGTTCTCATCCTCAGCTGTCAAAGCAATGAAGGGGGTAAGTTTTAGCCCCACAAATTCAAAGACAAGCTTCCCTCTGGTTTCAGTAACATCAATATTTTACTGACATTTACTCCTTACATTTTTATTTTTGTTTGGACAAAAGTTCAGTTTGTGGATCTGAAAGCATTTCAAAGCTGTGACTATGTTTCACGGTATGTTTGAGATGCAGGTAAATACCATTTAGGTCTTCCAGTGCTTGTGGAAACTGTCCTGGGTTGTGAGTCTACAGCAGAACCAGAAACAGAGCTCCGAACAACTGAATTCCAGGTTCCCTCATTAAAAGGGAACATGAACTATTACATGTCAACACTACTGCCTTTGATTTATTAAGGCCTAGAAGGCCTAGTTGTCAAGTCTTTTTTTTGTTTCTTTTTTCTCCTACATGGACACTTTTCTAGCCAGTTTTACAGAACTTTTCCCTACCAGGTACTTCACTGTGGTAGATTGGAATTGATATTAACAGTCGTCTCTGATTTAAGTTCCTCCTGAGAAGCCGCAGTATTTTTTGAGACAAAAATACAAGAGTACAACACCACCAGAACTGAAAGGCATATGTGAATATACTTAGAAATTTGACCTATTTGGAAAGATAGCTTTACTGGGTATGATCGAGCAGATGTACTTAACGTGTTATAGTGAGAAGTACAGGAAAGATATGAGAAAGGAAGATTCAGGCAAAACCTGGACAAGGCTAGAATATGATTGAAAGAAACAGAAGGGGAGAGAAGAAAAAGTTTCTTCATCAGATGGTAGAAGGAACATCCTGCGCTGCACTGAAAACTCATGTCCTCCCAGGGAGACAGGTTCCTACATTTCTTGTGAGCAGAAAGTACTAGGACGTGGCTCTATCTTAGTTTCTTTCTTCTTACTTACAGCAGTGTAAAGAAAGGACCCTGGATTTTGGCTAGCAGCACAATACAACTCAGGAAATTTTAAAGCATGTAGCTGTCCTTAGAATCCAGACTGAAGTCTCCACACACAAAATAAGTTAAAAAATCACATTTAGTATCAACAGGATGTTTTCAATAAGAGTGTCTGAAACATTCAAATATACAATTTTTTACAAGCAGCAAAAAAACTTACTGGAAATCAATTAGGTTTCATTTAGTTTTTCAAGAAGTCATCACTACTGTATTCAAAATACCTTTGAAAATATTCATTTTAAGCACCAGACCATCTGATAAATGCCCTAATAAAAAGGGCTTTACTAAACATGAAGCAAATCCTCGTAAGTCTAAAATCATGTTTATTGTGTTTCTACAGCTGAGTTTCAAAATTGCATTTTTTTACTTTTATCCACTGGAGTCTGAGATTGTGCTACACATCAGCAATAATTGCCACTGCTTTTGCTGTAGCTTAGGAAGACAAGAGGATTCTTTGTGTGCCTCTTTTATGACATTGTCAATATATTAATACAAGTTATATGAACAAACCTAAAGAGACAAAGAGCTGTTTGTTATATTATTATCCAGGGGTGAAAGCACAAATCTTAGGGAAAAAAATCCAGTAGGGAGTGCAGCTGAACAAAAGGTCTAAGTAAGGCAGGCTCTGACACCTGATTATATGCGAACCCAGCAGTGTAGCCGTGCAGGGATTCCCTTCTTCTGTTTGCAGACAAGGATTAAATGAGAAGTGGTGAGATAACAAGGGAGTGTGTATGCTTTATGATATGCCTATTTTTTCTACCAGTTGCTAATCTGCAGCTCTGGTGATGATTGCAATTTCATCTCCAGAGATATGCTATTCAGAAACATCAAAATGGTGTTCAACTGAGCACCCTGTGTTTCTTTAAGGCCAGATTGTCCAGACTATCAACCACTGAAGGGGGAGGACCTCCTATTTTATTCTGCTCTTTACCCTTCCTTGGGTGATGCCAGACAGCAAATGGGAAGAGGAAGGTAGGATCCAGTCTACTCACCTGATATGCTGTAAGAAGAGTACTTGTCTGCAGGAGGAGCTGGTCTGTCAAACCTCGATTCATCAATACAAGTGTATGGCTGCACATAGGAAAACAGTGACTCAGTGTGTGAACAGAACACTGGCAATTCCACTAAGAACAGATAGAGAAGCAAAAAAACTTCAAATTAGGCCAGCAAAACCCTGCAAATTAGGCCTTGCCTTATTTTATTGTTTGTTTTGCAATAAAGCAACACAGAGCTGCCAGTTGCCCATGTCAACCTACAGGTATGTAAGGACACTTCCCACCTTCAGTTGCCACTAGCCAGACTTTTAATTTCTGTTGCCTTGTAGAAATCAGTTCTCTGTCTACTGTATGCAGGTGCTGTTGACGATGCAAACTGCAGAATCCACTGATAATCACAACTTTATGGACGTGGCTCAACAACTTTAAACTAGCAACTTCAAGATCTATTGAGAAATTAAACCAAATATGTACATCTTGGATGAGTTCCTGGTGGAAGCTACATAATCTGACTGCTGATAAATAAAGGTTTGTGTGAAAGGCACTTTCGAAATTAAATCTGCAGTCAGTTCTTTCTTTGTGAATGTGCTCATAACTTGAGTATGTTAATACCTCTTGTCCAGATGGCAATTTTGGGGGGCATGAACTCTCCCCAGTTTTTAAGAGCATCACACGCCCTATACGAGTGCACCTTCATACAAGATACCCTACATTTTTTCCAGTACCCATTCATTGCATGAATCAGAGTATACAGTTACTGCCAGATTCAATCCAAAAGATTTGCACCTACAAGAAAGTCACTGCACTTATAGGCAGAGTGTGCTGACAGACTTTAGTGAAACAGAAAAAATATTTATTCTCTGTATTTATTCTCGTATTAATACAGAAAAAAGACATTAATAGGTACAGAAATCACCACAGATCTTTGTTGGCTGAAGCTTGGTGACCTGTATGAAGACCTCTTGCCTCCCTCAGAGACTGAATATTTCCTGGGGCTGTAGTGGTCTGTATCACGCCCGCTGAGCAAACCAAAAGTCCCTTAAAGCTCAGTGGTGAATTAATCATGCTTGGGCCACCCGCCAGTATAAAATTAGAATGGTGTGTGACTTCTGTGAGAATTGCACATGAAGCATAGATGCTATTTGTATGTTAATAACTGTGAGGCCTTTTGCTTTTCTTATTGACGCCCTGTGCTTTGTCCAGATGCAAGCAGGTAAAGCGACCCACATTCTCTTGACACGTCGCACATGGCATTGCCCAAGCACAAAGTGTGCAATCAGTTTTTTCCCCACTGCACACAAACACAAACACATAGACAACCTTAATCACACCACCTGGCAAAGGAGCAGCCTCCCCTCCTCCTGGACTGTCTGGCAGATGGCACAACAGCAGCACAGTTTCACAGCTCCAGGACCAAAGTAACAGCTGTTGGATTACCACACACTTTCTAGAACTTTAATCTTCAAAGAAATTCTGGATCTTACCTGGCTTCACCTTTCCTCCTGCCGTTCACAGAGAAGGCAGAAGCCTCAGAAAACAAGGTTATGCAGGCCCTTAGCATAGCCTGAAGCCACAATGTCAGCAAGGATAAAGACAATATAGTTAATGGCTGAAATATGTATAAGGGAGCAGTCCTTCAGAATAAGGATTTTTGAAGATAATTACAGGGGCTGGAAAATTGGGTTGAGAAAGATTTTAACAGGGAAAATATTTTAGTTTATCTAAATGTTACCACTGAAAATGTTACAGGATGAGTTGGTCATATTTCATGTGCAATCTGAAAACATGGAAAGTTGTCTGAAAGATTATTAAATAACTGTAGAGAAGGAAGCGCTTTAAAACCAAATTATCATCTCCTCTTCCCTACATGTGACTACCACTTCTGGAGCTCATTTATCATTAGACTAAATGGTTGTGGACAAGGAGCATCTTTTAACAAAATCCAGATCCAAAATGTATTTCCAGTGAGCAGACATAGAGCAGAATTTACATTAAAATCTGTAACTGAGCCATGCTTCATTTCTTTTGTGACTCAAATTTTAGTTATATTAAGGGCTATACTGCCATGGCTGGTGCAATCACAACATCATATTATTAAGGAACTTTCCATTATCGATGAACTTTAATTATCATTAGAGATCTTGGTCTCATTTGATCTGAAGTAAATGCATAGTAACTTCAAGGAGTTTGAATGAAATATTCCATCATTGCATTTTTGCAGAGGTATTCAGGGTCATGACTCAAATTTAAGCTGGGCTGTTTAAACCCAGGATAGATTAAATAGATAGGATAGGAAGGAAATGAGTTGCTTGAAAGCTGGTAAGATTTTCCTCAGTGAGATTCAAACAAGACCTGATTGCATAAATCTGTCCAATTTTATTATTAATTATCCAATATCAAAAAAAAAAAAAAAAACAAAACCCCTCACTTCATTTGGTTTACACTTAATTTTTCTTTTATACACTTCTTCAATTAAATGATTTTTTTTTTTTCTGGTACAAATTGTCTCAAACTATCATTGATATGTAGTTAAATTGAATTATTAAAAGTTCTTATCAAAAATCTCATCCTAGTATTGAGAGATTATTTTTTTCTGAAATGTAAATGTATACTCCAAAAACTTGCTGCTTTCAATCACTTAGCCTTCTAATTTATTCCTGTAGTGGCTGAATTTCAACAAATGCATCCTTTTCCTGCCTCTTTACAGCTAACAATAGACACAAGAATATCAAGAAACTGCTAAAACAGCCAAAAAGAATATATTAAAGTCCAGCCACACAGACAAAGTTATGGTTTCACCCATCTACCAAAAGCCACATTTTAACCACTCTCCAAGAAAATACTTTTAACGTACAAGAAGCCCTGAGAATACTGGAGGCAGATTCAGTGTTTGTCCCCATTTCGCTGAATTGAAGGAGGCTGCTAACAGTAAAATTTCATTTCCTTTTTGTTAAGCAGCTGCCTGCTGTCTGAGCTGGCTGATACAGGAAGGATATGGACTATGATGTCTTCGTGAGTCCCAGGGAAAGTGCTAATGTGATTTATATGTTCTCAGAAGATCACTGAAGTTCAAGAATAAGGGAGGGACGCTGACACATTTTCTAATGTAGGTGTAATCATTGGCACCAAGGACAGCCATTTCACCTAGTTCATGTTTTCTTATTTAAAAATAGACACATAATGATTATTAGAGATAGTTTAAGACTGGAGATTTTTTAATGAAAAATATGCTCCCATTTAAAATAATAGAAACCTTCAAATCTTGTAGGATGCTCTTATTTTGAAGTGCATTTTCTCTCATCAGGGAAGTCCAATATCTTCTTGCCATCCACATTCATGATACTCTGTCACACAGCTTTGTGTTTGTTCTGGAGAAGGTGGCTACACACTATATTTAAAGACTGACCTGCACTTGGCACTTGTTGAAAGGATAATTGGAGATGCTTCTCATTAGGATGCCTTGCTTCCCCAGCCAGTGTCTACAGTGACTTGCATGGCACTCGAATCCTCTTTGGAGTTTTCTGTGATGCCAAATGTATTTACCTACGGTGCAACTGGTACATACAGATATTCATTCTTACCCTACAGGAAGGAGAATACATTTGTCAAGTCCTTCTGCTGACACCTCATGCTTCTTTGCCATATAATTGGGTTGTCTGTTTGCTTCTGCTTCAGGGTCATCCTGACCAGGTGCAAGAGCCTCATGCAGGTGCTAGCATGCCACCATGCACCGTTCAGTGAGACCCCAGCACACACAAAGTTTGTGCATCCCATCCATGGTACCCCTTACTGTTGACTGGTCACTCATAAGCATGGTCTCCCCATGGGGTCCCTGACATCTCAACCCACTGGGAAGAGCCATGCTTGCCAGCAAGGCTGAGTTCTGGATGGCAGGGTGTGGATGCATGTTTGTGAGCTCAATGAAGGAGCAGAGAGAAAAACAGACAGAGGGGCACCCTCTATAGTGGAAAAGAGCAGTGGCTGAGCAATGCAGGGGTATCTGTGAGATCAGTCACATGATTCTGAGAGATCCCACTACTGTGCTCAATGAATAACATGGTGCAACAATGACCGAGACAACAGTGACTCTGGGCTGTGTCTGCTACATCTTAGTAGACACAGAGGAAGACAAGCCCAAGAAAATGATGAAACTTCATGTTCATCTACATTTATTAAAAAATATTAAATTTTGTTTTCAAAAAGTACCTATTTTGTGCAAAGTTGACAGAATAATGCAGAGTTTTCTCTTGTGTTTAGTATTGTTCATGGATCCTTCACTCTGTCAGAAAGGGGATTTTCCTTGCACATTAGCATTTTAGTTTTCCTAAAGCATTTTTCAGCAGAATTCTTCCCCATTTGAAACCATGGCTCAGGTATCTTCTCCAAAGGAAAAAAAAACAAAACCACAGTCAATAGAAACATAGATCTGGAGAGGACAGCTTATATCATTGATCTAGCTGTTTGCCAACAAAGAAAGCCATGCAATAAGTGTTTAATACAAAATGCACAGATCACTCACAACATCCACAGAACACTTCCAAACACTCCAGGAACAGATTGAAGGCTATAAAAAGTTCCAAAATTAGAGGTAATGTTCATATACCAGCCCACATCTTCTGCCCCCTGCTCTACCCCACCTTCTAAATGTCAATTCTATCACAAGCCTGTGAAGCAAATATTAGATAAGTAGCCTTTATTTCACCTTTCATTTACAAGGCCTTTCCCAAAGTTAAGTCTCTGCCTTTCCTTTGCATTGTTTGTCAAGGATACATAGAGAGAGGGATAATATGAAATAATCTTAGTTTGGAGCTCACTGAGGGGTCACTGGGAACTGCAGACTTATTATTGTTGGCCTGATGCCAATCGTGCTGAAATAATGCTTGTCACATTTCTTTTCCTTATGGAAGCTGAGACTTTGTAGAATCCATGCGGTGGATGTTTTCAGTAGAGGAACTATCTAACTTTTCTCCATGGGAGGAATAAGAACTCAAAACTTTTTGTCTTTTTAGTGAACTTACCCAGAGAGAGGAGGGAAACATAAAGATGAGGAAGAATGAGATTTAGACAGTTGTCAGAAAAAGACAAAAATGGCCTTACATGATAATTATCACATTAATATGTGTACAGCCAATAAAATACAAGTGTCTTTAGGTGACCACCAACCCAGAATTGCAGTTAGAAGAGCAGAGGAGCAGAACTCCACAGGATATCTGACCTCCTTTTTTCAAACATGTGGAAATACTTTGTAGGCTGCAAAGCTGTGGAGCAAGAATATTCTGATCACGAAAAGACAATGCAGTAAGCATGTATGCCTCATGCAACAGCTGTAAATCATTTGGTGTGACACAGAAAGCCCATACAATATGGAGCACTACCAGCTTTCTAGCTTCAGTTACCCTTGAGCTACATTTAGGTTCTTATTTCCAGTATACTGTAAAATAACACTGGGTATTTCTCCAAGTCCAAAGGGGCTAATGAGGAATTCTAACTGCTTGAATTTAATTGAGTCTGCAAATACCATGCTTCCTTTTCCTGAAAACTTGACATTCTTGACTGGGGAGGGGAGAACCCAGGAGAGTGATTTACTTTTTTTTGCTTTTTCTTTTCTTTTAAGCATGCTGAGAACTACAATGCCCGAGTCCTCAGCAATTAAAGTTACCAATTTACATTTATTTAATAGTGGCTGGATTCTGACAGTGTGTGTATTAAGAGGGTGTGTGTAAGAGAAATTAGCACTCAGTAGTGTAGAGAGGAATCTCCATTAAGTGCCAGATAAGCATTCTTCCCACTCAGGAGGAGGAAGGCAGTGTGCTCACTGCAAAACCATGGCTTTGAAAGTGGAGTTATTCATCTTTCTTCTACTTAGTACAAGCTCACCTAGGAATTAGTGGCCAGTTTCTAAGATGCTGTAAACCCACACATTTGTTTAGGCTGGCCTTTTGGGACACAGTGGCTTACAGTAGCTACAGCCACTGCTCATTTATTTTTTACTCCAAACTGCATTTTACCACAGTGCCCACTCTTCTGCTAATGTAAGGTATGAAAGGTTTTTAATCTGTAAAGTGAGTAAATAAAGTGACTCAAAAAAGAATCTTTGAAGAGAATGAGTAGTGCTTTCTTGAGTTGACTTTGCTGAAAAGTGGCTTTTTTTTTTCCTGGGAACAGGGTAAGCCCTGGAAAGGTATGATTCAGCATAAGGCAAGGGTTAATCCATGGCCTTTAATACACCATACGAGTTAATAAATAAACCAATTGAAAATATAATGAAAATTAGGTCTAATCCTTAGCAAATAAAATACTTGGCTACTTTGAACTGACCTCAGTATATTCAGACTTTCCTAATTTGTGCTTTGCTTTTAATCGCCTAGAACCCCCTACAGTTACCTAGAAACCATAGGTGCAGTGAGAATAGCCAGGCATCCATAGTAAAGATCAGATTTGTCCAACATCTTTCAAGAATGGTTTAGAAGTAATTGAGTCTCCTTTGGGACCAGGGAATGGTAAAGAAGCCCTCTCAAGCTCTCTTTCATCTTGTTATCTTGTTTATTGTATTATCCTGGAGTCAGTTTAGATGTAACACAAAAGAAAGCAGACTCTGTCACATATTACTTCTCTTTCTCCACTCTCTCAACTTACACTCAGATAAAAGCAGCTAAGACTACAATTCTTTGATTTTATTCTAGAAGCTAGATTCTTTAGGGGTAAGTAAGTACCAGTGATTCTTGTTAAGTTTGGAGTTCATCTCACAGCCATAACCTTCTGGTGGCCAGAGTGATTGGGTGCCTCGTTAGGAAAGCTTAGTCTCTCCTGTGGGCAGCTGGGCTCAAACAGGCATAGCTCAGTATGGGAGTTTCTCCCCATCCAGCATTTTTCTCCAGGTCAGCCCAAACCATAAGTGTTAGAAGGTCCTGAGTTCAAAGAGGAGTGTGAAGAAGAGGGCTGCTGGGTGAGAGAAATAGTTAAATGATGTGAATGGAGATATGAATGAACAGTGATGGATTTCTCTTCTTACTCTAAAAATGAGTTAGAAGACCAACATGAGGAGGGGATATAGCAGAAACTATGCAGAAACCAGTCTGTTCCTCATGAAATCTGTAGTGCTGAAGTAGGAGGGTTGGGTTGGATGTTCTGGAAGAAAAGATAAAAATACTATCATTATGCTTCTAGGGAGATTTTATACTACTTTTGTTACTGTTGTTCCCATTACTAATATATTACTCATGGAAGGAAATGTGTTAGTTTTCCACCTGTTCTCCTAGGGACAGATATGGCATTCAAAAAAGAGGGAAGTTCAAAAGACACTTGTATGTCTGTAGAGAAGCCCAAACCCCAAAACTACTTGCAGCTGCCATGGTAACTACATTTATAATAAAATGGAAATATGAGACACACATAAAATTTCCTTTTCTTTTGACCTGCTTGGTTTTCCTATAGCACTTCCCATCTCACCAAGGTCAGACTTGCCTGTGAGCATCTCAGCCCAGGTGTTTTGCCTTCGTTGCCTCTTCTTGAGATCCTGCCCTCCAGCCCAGATATTTCCTTAGGGGTGGGTTCTCAGCTGTCCTGGAGCATTTCCACCTATGTACCTTTAATTCTGCTGCAATGAAATCAGCACACTAAGACGTCCCCTTCTTGGTATGGCTGTTTCTTTGACACACTTCTGTCAACACTGTCCTTCCATACAACCCAGGTTTGGGGCTTTCAAGTGCTGGAAGGATAAGGGGAAGCGATTTTGAGGTGTTAGAGTTTTGTGTTTGATTTTCTGAACATTTATGTATAGGTAACTAGCTGAACTAAAAGACATCAAGAGTTTGTTTTGCTTAAGAACATTCAATTGTGGTACCTCTGAACCATCAGGGCTCAAAATGCTTCTGCCTAAGTTGAGATATAGGGAGCTTTGGCTGAGAGTCAGAGAGAAGCAGTGTAACTGTCTAGAGGCCAGGGTGAGCATACACCTATGTAGCCTTTTCTTTGCAGCTTAAAAATTGGAACCTTAATGGGAAATGGGAAGTCATCATGTGATGCAGTGTGGGGATGTGACCCAGAGCAAGCAAAGGAAGCAGCATCACTCCTTACCATCAAGGCCACACTGACTGTGTGCCAGCAACAGCAGCACAGCGTCCTGGCAACACTGACTTGTTCTGGCACAGGCAAAGGCCGCCAGGAGTGAAGGACGAGCATCAGAACAGACCTTCCTGTCTGTGAGCCTTGCAATAGGAAGCTCCAGGGCTGCTTTCAACATGTCTATCCTTCCTGTGCTGTTCCCAAGCTGCAGCACCAGCTGCAATTAATCTTCTTTTACGCACTGCTCTGATCTAACAATTGATCTTGCAGGCTACAGAAGACTTAGGCAACTGTTTTACAATGAAAATATCACTGAAAATCAGCATGATTACTGCCTATGGGCTGGTCTTTGTCTCATTTGAACCTCACCTTCTAAGTTTTTATCCCACAAGGATTTTTCTTTTTAAGCTTTTTTTTTTCCCTACTTTTTTTTTGTAATCTACATGTGGAGCTCACTTTCTATTTCCCAGCTGGTGCAAGGAGGTACTAGGGTATAGAAGACAGGGCAGCCCTGTTTCCTTAATCTACATCTTTTCGTAATGAGTCCAGCAATAGAACCAGATCAAATAAAGGTAGCTAGTTAACTTGCTTAATGATCAATTTTATTCCACAACGTAAAGGTCTCAGAAAAGAATTGTCTTTTGATTTACCTACATTATAAATTTAATGTTGTCAGGAAAATGTCTAAAAGATATGAGAAACATTATACCAAAATTCAGTAAAGGGAGAGGTTGTCAAAATTTGAGTAAAATGAATTTATTGCATGGTTTTAAATAAAACAAACTGAGAATAACTCCTGAAGAGTTGAAACTTTCTTTTGATATATTTTTTTAATAAATATTTCATTTTTTTTAATTCATTTTTTGCCCAATATCTTTTATTGGGAGGAAGGGATTAATTTCCTTCTTTTTTCCTTCGAATGGGAAAATAATACAAGAATTAATAGTTTCCTATCAAGATGACATGGTGGTTTTTTGGTTGTTTTTACTTTAGCCTTTGAGTTTAAAAATTGATTTGTCTCCTAGCTACAAGTAAAAGTTGAAAGAAAGCACAAAGTTTGCAGGCAAATTTTAAACTAGGCATTGGTATCAGAGAACTCAAATACTTGCAAGTGCCAAATTTCATGCTATAAATAAAATTTACAAAACAAAACAAGCCTACATGTGTTTGTAGTTCTGACATTAATGCACTATTTTGTTCTTATTTTAGGAAAATCATATAAACACATGAGATGCAAATTCTAGAGGACACAGTGACAGATAAGATCAACTAGTACAGAGAAATAGAGCTTGTGAGTGCTAAGGCAGGAACCTGCCTCCTACTTCTGCTTGGAGATGTGCTGCTGTGGTAACATCTGTTCCTGTAGCACTCACGCAGGGCTTGTTTGCACACCCTTTGGGGGTGATATCAGGTGCTGTGGTGTTACGTATCTGCAAACACACAGCCTTTCTTTGGTTTGGAGGGAGAAGAGCAGTCCCAGACCTGCAAGAGTCTGATGGCAGAACTTTTCCTCAGGCTCCTCAGATGCAGGCTGTGTTCCTGCTTTGGCTGGCTCTTTTCTCACCCGCTTCCACCAGTTGCCTGTCTGGGTCTGCAGCACTTTCTGGCACGTGCTGCAGCCTCCACAGGGCTTAGGATGCATCCCCCACAAATGTCACCTCAGCCATGTCTGTCTCTTCCAAACACTGGGTCTCTTCTGACTGTTTTCCTGCAGTTTATTGCATAAGAGAAGAGACTTTCCCAAAATGTTACTGGCATCTCTTGTGAGCAAACAGATGTTGTGCTGTAATCCCACCCTCTCCAAGCCTGTGTGCAGGGTGTGGGCAACCCAAAAGCCTTTTCTCCAGCTCATGCGTAACCTGCCCTCTTTGCACAGGCATTCCTGCTTCTTATTGATTTTTACACTGTTGCCAGGATTTTTAACTTTGGTTTATTAGCAACAAAGTTTATCCTTTTCCCATCCTGTGGGAATAAGCTATTTCAATATCTATACAGCACAACTATTATGGTATGCAGGAGGAATTTTTCCTCCACAGCAAGGGAGCATGCAGAACACAGCATTAAAGAGGCTTTACTGCCTGCAGAACACACTGCAGTGAGTTGCTGCTCTTAGCCTGGCCAAATGAACATTAATATAATTCGGCCTCTTTCTCTGAAGTTTAGATTAAGGCCCGTTACATCACAAATAAAACTGACTAAAACTGATACAGACATTTATGAGCAGTTACGGTTATCATCCACTGGCTGACAACTTGCTTTACCTCCTTAACTCAATTTTGCATCCAAACCCTCAAGGAGGGGAGAGTGTAACATTTTACTTGTAGCACTACGGATAGTTTAATACGATTTCTGTCAGTAGAGTAGCTCTGACAGACTATTTAGTTCACCTCAGTTGGGAATATACAGATTGTCAGGGAATCCAGTATCCTCTGATATAAGTCATTTGCAGTTAAACATACATTTTCCCACTGAAGCAGCTCTCTGGCTTTGCTGCTATTTGTGTGGTTATCTGGTTTTGGAAGATGTTCCTTTTATTCTGTTGACTTTGGCAAAAGTTAACCTAATTGCGTGTCCGTGTTCTGAGGCATTGCCATTAATAAGTCCTCCTTTTTAAAAATTTGAGCTGGATTCTCTCATTCAGAAGTACAGGGTTTAAAAACACTTGCTGAATATTGATTATGGATTCCTACAACCAGTTCTGTTCAGTTTTGTTGTTAAAGTCTTTTACATGGTTGAAAAACAAGCAGATGATCTAACACTAGAAAAGTAAAATGCTTACGCCAGCAGTAGTATAACTCACTTTTCCCTTGTGTTTTCATTGCACATGATGTTTGGGGTCATACCTAAACAATTGTCAGTCATTAAACTCTATGCTCCAACCCAGTTATACTAATGTAAACCTGACAGGATGCTCAGGCATTAGGTAATTTGCAACCTGTTTCTTTTTCCTCTGCTCTCAAGGTCTCTTTCACAGGCTCATATTGCTGAATACTGGTGTTAAATCTCATTATTTCAACCACTCTCCCTCTCTTTCACTTCAGGAGTGTGTTTTTGAAGCAAATCATTTGCATTTACTGTACTTTGCCTTATATTATGGGAAAATCTCTGAGCACAAGAGTGGCCTCACTTTTACATAAAATAAAATAAACACAGAACATGTGGTGGAGAAGCACACATCAGGTGCTGTGAGATCCAAGGCACATTCATTCAACATATATAGAGCTAGCCCAAAGTAGTCATCCCCAAAATGTGTATGGGACAGATGCAGGGTCATCTGCACCATCTGTTTTGTTCTGTAAGTACTGTCCTGCTTGGCTTCAACACTTGGTAATGACTGAAGAAGATGACATTTTATGTGCTTTGATGTCCAACTGTAGATGACAAAATTAGATATTAAAAAATTATCAGCCTAGCTTTGGAAATGTGGCTACTAAAACCATAAAAAAAAGAATTATTAAGAATATGCTTGGCCACACACGAATGACTAAGCTCAAAAAAAGGAATTTTATGGGAAAAATATTATGGCTTTTAATGCATAGGAAATCAGGCCATATAACCCTACAGTCCCTTTGGTCTTAAAAGTTATGAATTTATTTAAAATATCACTTCTCATTATGCTGTTGTTGTTAACACATGTGCCTAGGGTTCTTCAGGTGGGCCAAAAATGTCCTGGTGTGAATAATAACCATGTCCAGAGAACAGTAAAAAATTCCCTGACATCAACAGAAATGTATTGGCAGGTGATGCTTGCAGTGTTGACTCTGGCTGGTTATTTAGAAAGCATTTATGATATTACCTATTGCTGTCTGTGATGGTGCTTGTACGGAGGAATACACAAATGCTTTGGCCTGCTCCCTGTTACCATAGAGACCCACAAATGTATAGTCAGAAATTCCAAATCAAGAAAGAATATACTGTGTGACAAGAATCACAACAGGTATTTCAGCAGCTGTCCAAAATGCCACAGGTCTTTGGAGAATAAACTTTCAGAACTCTTTTTAGTCTTTGCTTCATGTCACCTTTGCAACTTGCTAACAGTTCTTTCTTGAAGAATTTGAGGCAGGCTGGGGTATCAAAAGGAAAATGAAAATACTTTGCATTTATCTGCATGACAGTATCTTTAATTATGTAGCATTTGGTATTCATCCTTCTCTGCCACCTTGCTAAAAATAGTTCCAGCTGTCCTATCAAAACCCAGATCATGAAGCTTGAGGACCTAAGCACACAAAAAAAATTAAACAATATGTACAAATTCTAATACTACCCACTAATTTGAGTAGTGTTTTACTCAACAAATAATTTCTTTGCTCAATAAAGCAGTTTTTGTGATGAATAATGAACCAGTATGAAAAGTGTGAGGACTAAAGACCCCAGACTCTACCAATGAGGCTATTTATGGAATAGATGTTATTCATGAGGACTAACAGCAATAGAATGGATCTTGGAGTGAATTATTTCAAGTATTATTTGAAATAATGACTCTGTTACCCAGAAAATTATTCCCCGAAGAGCAGGAATGACAAAAGATATTGTTGATCTTTATTTTGTATTTTAATAATGTGTATTTTGGCCATCTCTTCTCTGCCAGGTGAATTTCTGTCTTCTTCTATGAAAGCTATGATATCATGTAGCAGCTATTACACAGCAGTTGTTACTTTTTACAAGATCCCAGCTGTTTCATTGTAAGAATAAAAAGACATTGGGTACCTGCCAATTAAATAAATGGAAATGCCATTTTCATTTATTGCAGTAGCCAGTTTGACTTGTATTCATAATATTTTTGTTAATGTAGGTAAAATGACAGCACTGGCAAGTGAAAGTAAATGTTTTTATGAGCAGAATATGTGTATTAAAATATTCAGTCTTTTCAGCAGATTCACAGCTGCTTTGGTTTTGAAATGCAAGTTTTGAATGATAAGTAATGTCCTGGTGTCTCCTACCTGTCCACTGATACCAGATCCCCCACCTCTGCTCATCTTCTGGGTTTTGGTGCATAATGATCAATAAGAGGGAGGGTTCCATGGGCATATTTTCCCACCTACTTCCTAGTCTTGCTTTCCAGTTAAAATGCTGAATACAATTACAAACCCATTAAGCAGTGTTAAAATGCACTAATATCAGAGTGCTCTTTTTCAAAACTGGATCATTTTACAGCAGAGCCACATCTTTAGTGTGCTACAGGAAGGCTTACAGAAAGCAGATATAATCTGCTGCTGTATTTTTTTAAAAATACTTCCTGTAGAGAATTAAATGCATCACCGTTTCTATTACCTACACAAATTCTACCATAAGAAAAAGAATGATTGAAAACAGTTTTTAATTTGTTGCATTTAGCATCAAAATGGGATGCTATTTTAGAGATGCCATAAATGCCTTATTGCCAAGCTTAGAGACACCACTCATGGAGTCCCTTTTTGGGGAGAAAGGCACAAGCCTGGGACAGAGGCAAGAAAGTTTGTGAAGGGGCCAGTGGCTTTTGAAGCAGGAAGGAAGGTTCAAACATGGCTTTGTGCAGTTCTGTCATGTACGTCACGTCAGATTAAGGAAGGCTATTAAGGAAATGGCAATATTTACTGGAAGAGGGTGCAGAGACTTCCAAAACCAAAACCCCTTTTAACAGAGCATCCTAAAACTGAGTCACTCAACATCTCCTGTAACCTCTGAATACATATGTCCTTGAGGATAACAATAAGTGGGCAGAGAGCATTCTCCTCCTTAAGCAGATGCTGACAGAGTGCTCCACTCGCTGCTGTGTCACCTGGGATCTGGAATACTTTACTTGGCACACACCAAGCCTTACCATGAAGAAGTGACAAAAATGGGTTAAGCTAAAATGAACTTATTTGAACTGACTATTTAAAGTCTGAACTAGATTTTTCCCAAGGGTCTGTACTGTGGTTTTGACCAATAGTAAGAGCAATAGCTAGGCTTAAAATGCTGAGCCACAACCAGAAATCTCAGCTTCTTATTAATTAGAAACATACAATTCAGCAAAATTTCAGGCAGAAGCAAGAAGCAAATATGAAAAAGTAAGACTATAAGGCAAAGCAGAAAGTAACCATTTAACACACTTTATGTTGTTCTGTTTGCCCCCTTCTGGAGTGTTTACACACATTTCTTGCACTAATATCCAAATATCTGTGAATGCATACTCCCACAGAGCACCTCATACCTGCCAGAGAAAAGATGGCTATCCCCATTTCACAAGTGAAGAACTGAGGCAGGTGAAACCTTTGATCAAAACAAGAATGAAACCCCTAGAGAAGCAAAGTCTCCAAAAAGTGACCTAAATGCTAATTGGCCTTTCTTATGCTTCATTACTATCATTGGTAAAGATAAAATAAATTTTATGTGAGTACTGAATTGGTTTAAAGTCACAGAATTTGGGATAATTCTGTATATAATAAATGATGGGGTTTTATTTGTCCTCTCACTTTTATAGCCCTTAAAATGTGTTTCATTTCCAGTTTCGATGTTTTCTAGGCAATTCTGAAAACTGGGACATATATACATATCATGCAAATAATATATATATTTCATACATATTCAATGAAATATTATATTCTTATGCAAGATAGCAATTCAAGCAACCAGAGTTTAAAATAATTTAATTGTACATATATAGAAATACTATAAGTGGAAGTGAATTGATTTTTATCTATTTTTCTGTGTATTTATGTACTCATGCATATGTATATTCTGACCTTGTAAAAACAAATCTATGAAAATTGGCAGGAGTCTTTTGGATATAGGTGAATGAAATGACATTTGAGGTAATTACAGAAATAAACGGCAACTAATCAGCAACTCATCATAAGAATAAGTTTACATTAAAGATAATGGAAAAATGGCAAAAAAAATAAAGCTAATGTTTCCAGTCTATAAAAACCCCCTTCTTT